TCCCTTTCGGCTGCTTTGACCAAACTCCTGAAGCTGAGCTTGTTGATTTATTTGTTCTTTCTGTAAATTTTCATACCAATGAGTTACTTCAGCCCTAAGATCTGCTACCTGGTCACTAGGATACATTTCAATAGTCATCTGAAATATGAGATGCAACCAATTTAAAAATACAAAAAGAACAGATATTGGAACTGGGAAATGTTATCAATTTGGAAACTAAAACTATGCAACTACCTTGTCAGGAAGTCCAGCAGGCTGACATACAACTCTTAGTGGCAGAGATTGTTTGTCACTCAATGCTTTCAAATGACTACTAATTCCAGTGCCTTCAATTTGCCACTGTCTGAGATGATATGCAAACCTAAAACACACAAAAACCACACATAGAAAGGATATCATTTTAAAACATTTAATATTACTGAAGTTTTTATTATTTCACAAAATGAAAAAGCCCACAAAAGGTTCTAGCAAATTCCAATTGAGTCTATCAATAACATTAAGTTTAATTTGTTTTTCCACAATAAAAGCATGAAATTTAGGCTCATCATACTATTTTTTATAGTATTATCTTAGTGTAATATATAAATTTTATGAGTATTTATTAATTTAAATACAACATCACCACATTTGCTTATTCTTACTTATTTGTAAAAGTGGTACAAGTTACCTGGCAGTGTTTAGTTTCTGTGCAAAAATCTAGAATTCACTAGACAGTCTTTAAAAACAAAAAGAAGTATTTAAATATAATTTTCACAAATTTCAATCATAAAGTAAAAAAAGTTACAATGCTCAAATGTTTTAATCAAAGTCATGTTGTGTATAAGGAATGCCTAGAGTACCATCCTTGTTCAATAATCTCTGATATTTTAAATAAAAAGAATGTCAATAAATGTCAATTGTATGGCATTTTCAGTATCAAACTAAGCTCTGAAGTTGAAAGAAGTCATTAATTTTAACAATATTTTTTATCACATTTTTTTGTTGTTCTTAATCCTCACCCAAGGATATTTTTTCCATTGACTGTTAAAGAATGGAGGGGATAGAAGGAGGGGGGAAAAAGAGAGATAGGGAAAAAAACATCGATGTAAGAGAGGCGTCAATTGGTTGCCTCCCCACACAAGGGGCCAGGATTGAACCTGCATCCCAGGTACATGCCCTTGACCGGGAATCAAACTGGAGATCCTTCAGTGGATTGGCAGATGTTCTAACCAGTGAGAAACTCCAGCCAGGGTACAACACAGTTCTTTATACTTTTACATTTACTCATGATTTCTACTACACAGAATTTCTTAATTAAAACTACTCACCTTTCACTTCAGTCGATACATTCTTAACTGTTAATTTGCTTTATTTCTGTATTACACAGGGTATGTCTAAATTAATTATACAGATATTCATTAACAGAATTTTTTATCATGTTTCCATGGTAAATGGAAATTCAAAATTAAAATACTTTCTCCTAGTCCAGGAAGAAAAAAAAAACAGCAAATGAAACAACCTCAACTTGGTTTAACTATGAGAGATTATTTGATGCTCTTGGCAAGGGTTTTAGTGCAACTGTTTTTGATAGTGTTCTGCCTTTTCAATTTTCCTAATACTTTAGTAGTGATGGAATTCTGACTAGAAATTCTTATCCATGCACACCTTCTCACAGCCTAATGATTTTAAAGCTCTTCAGTATTTACCAGGAATCTGTATTTCCTATTGCACCACTATATGTTACATATTATGAACAAAAGTTAATTCTAAAACTAGCACTTCATTTTTGATAAGTTATACTTTTTCTACCTGCCTCCCCAAAAAACCCCTTTTTTAAAAATACTTTTGGACATGTCAGCAATAAAAAAGTCTGAAATTCATTCTAATGCGGTATTAAAAAATTACCTTCTCCTAAATGCTTCCAGATGTGTCTTCAGCATAAGAAGTCCTCTTTCTATAACAGTGAGACTTGAGTGTGATTCTTGTTCAAGACTGCTAGAAGCTATCATAAGACTCTCCATACACTTACTAATAAATTCTTGTTCCTTCTCCAAACCAGTTTTACCTGAAAATCAGATGTTTAGACATGTGAATCTCTTATATTCTTGTTTTGCTATAAAGAAAATTAACTGGAGCTAAACTAAAAATCTCCATATAAAAAATTATCCATTAGAAAACATTTCAAATAACTCACCATTAATATAATAGGAGTTAATATACTGGATAGCTGCTCGACTGACATCACCAGATTGTGCTCTTAAAGCAATGCCCCAAAATTGGTCCATACCACAAATCTAAAAAAGGAAAATGTGACAATATCTATTATTTATTATTTGTCAAATAATGCAAACGATAAGACTGAAATAAATTTAAGACATACAACATAAAAAAGTTTTAATATCCTATAAAATATTTAAAAGGTAATTCCTATTACTTAGTTATTAAATAGCTACGGTGCACAAAATTTATGCACAGGTAGGGTCCCTAGGCCTGGCCAATGATCAGGGCCAATCGGGGCCTTCCAGGGAATATGCTAATTAACCACCATGCCCTCAAAGATGGCGGCGCCCACAAGCCACCCAAAGCTCAAGTAAACAGTGCCAGCTGAGGTTTGCACTGCCTGCAGCAACAGCAGCAGAGGTGTGATGGGGTGTCGCCTTCCCCTGATCACCCAGTAGCCTCCCGTCCCTGAGGGCTCCCAGACTGTAAGAGGGGGCAGTCCAGGCTGAGGGACACCCCCTCTACTGCGTGAATTTTCATGCACCGGGCATCTGGTTTAACATAATTCAGTAATCTAATTTGAGGAATAAAACAAAAATTCCACAAGCTGACCTAATAAAATTACAAGTCTAAATCCTTACCTCAGAGTTTGAACCACCATCATAGGCACTGGTAGCCAATCGAGCCAGGTTACATAGATGCTGAAACAGGTTTAAACCAGTCATGCTAATCGTTTCAGGTTTTAGCTGAGGCATCTTAAAAAAAAAAATTTTTTTAAACTGGTTTAGTGTGGTGAAGTTATTAACATTTTATTTTACTGGATTTAACTTGAGAGATTTAAATTAAATTTGGTTTTACTGAAAACATAGAAAGAAATGTAGCAGCTCAGATTTTCAATAATTTAAAAAATTAAAACAGTTAATTCAATGAAAATTTTATTCAACTTATAATTAAAACATATCTCAATTGTTTCAAGTTTTACACTGAACACAGACTCCAATCAGAGAAAATTAATAAAACTCTTTATTGCCCTTTGGCTCAGTGGATAGTGTCAGCCTGCAAACTGAAAGGTCAAAGGTTCAATTCAGGTCAAGGGCACATGCCTGGGTGTGGACTTGATCCCCAGTAGAGGGTGTGCAATAGGTGATTCTCTCTCATCATTGATGTTTCTCTCTCTCTCCTCCCTTCCTCTCTGAAATTAATAAAGAACTATTTTTAAAAATTTGTATCAATTTTTTATACACACAGACTATGCACACTTAAAGAGATGCGTAGCTACATGTACAGTTTGTATGTAAGTCAAGGATTGAAATTAAAATTAAATATAATAATTTGTAGCTTTGCTTTAGAACTATATACTGACTTAATTTACATGAACTCATTCACATTTACTCAATTCTACCAGAGTTCATGTGAGAGTTTGCAGAGAGCCTTTACAATCTCAAAAGCAAGCACACAAATAATTTAAAAAATGTATTGCTCTGTTATTATCAATGTTCTCAAATTTTAAATGAAAAAATATTACCTGAACCAATTGCTGCATCTGATAAAGGAGAACAAAAACTAGATAGAAGAATGTCATGATTATCATTACAGCAATTCCTGCCTTCCCAGGGATCTACGAATTTTCTGAATACTGTTTACATCTGCCAGAAGACTGACTAATGGAAGAGTCACAGAATACAACTCTATACTTGTGGATGTGGGTATACTCCTGAAAATGTAACTACAATATTATTTTAAAAATAAGACTCCCCACATTTCTTATAAGTATTTGCCTGAATTAATATTTAACACTAATTAGCATAAATACTTTAGTTAAGGAACAGAATATTTTTGTAAATAAAAACTATTCATTTTGATAAACACTGTAGAAGACAAAATGAAAGCAAAATTTAAGTGGCAGCCCTAACTGGTTTGGCTCAGTGGATAGAGCGTCGGCCTTCGGACTAAAAGGTTCAATCCAATCGTGCATGTGATTTGGTTGCGAGCACATCCCCTGTGGGAGGTGTGCAGGAAACAGATGATCAATGTTTCTCTTTCATCCATGTTTCTAACTCTCTATCCTCTCCCTTTCTCTCTGTAAAAATTCAATAAAATATATATATTTTTTAAATCTAAGTGGCAAAAACTATATAAGGGCTGCTGAAAAACATTATATTTACCTTTTTTTTTTAAAAAAAAGTATTAAAAGATAAAAAAAATTAACATTACGGAGTTTATATTTTAAGGGATAAAAGGAGATATAGAAAAACAATATGAACAATAAAACTGTCAAGAAATAAAATTACCTTCTCCAGAAAAAGATGTTTGTAGGTTTCCATTCCCATAGCATGTTGATCTTTACTTCGAACTTGATTTAAAAACCAATGGAGTGCATCATCATAACACTCAGAATCTTCTACTAAACAATGCCATAATATGTCAACTTGTTCTAAACTTAACCCTAGATAAAAATTACAAATTTTGAATCATGATACATACAATGTTTCGATCCGAATTCAATGTATTAGAAGCAACAATATATAAAAAAATATAGATGTTTTATAGCCTTTTATAATTACTTTGTAAGAGATTTCATATAATTATGCTGTCAAATGTAGTTAAATATAACCTATATATACATTATCTATAAACATACAACTTATATAATATCCTAGGAGAGTCATTTAGTCTGAAAAATCATTCTTCCTAAACTATGGACATATTACTGTATTAAAGTGCACATAATTAAAAGAAAGTAACCCCAAAAGTTGAGGAGTCAGTTCTAAGGTTTAAGCATTAAGAACAGAGTGGACAGTATGTTCAAAGCTCATTCTATGCACACAGTAGGTAAACAATGCATGCTGATAAACATTATTTTTGCAAACTGTGAAAAAAAGGATCCTTTTGATAAAGCAAAATGGAACTGGTTGCCTAAAACAGAAAATAATGACACATGAGGAGATACAATCAGCTGGGAAGCTAAAGGAATGAGATGAAATCTGTATGGTACTTTGATCCAAGTATTAAATAATTCCAAAGTGTGACAGAAGGAAGTCAAATAATTATTCAAAAAGAAGGCACTAAAGGCAATCACAAGTCTGAATATGGATGAGACAATCTAAAAGGATAGAAATAAAAGCATCACATGTATTTCTAAAGTATATCATAAGGGGTTCCAAAGCCTGGGGTTGCCCCTCAGAATCAGAAGGGATATGAAGTTATGGCAGAATCATAAGAAACCTCTTTCTTGGAAAAAGTAGGTGAGATCTAGAATACGAGGGGTGGAGAGGACGACTCTCAGAAAATATTTATCAAGAAGCAATACCAGTCTAAAGAGTTTAAGCAGAAAAACAATATCATAGGGTCACCAGTCCTAGCCAGCCAAACAATCTTGCCACACCTCCCACCAAGACCTCACCAAAATGGAACATGCCATGGAAACCATGATGTTCGTGTTTCATAAGTATGCTGAAAATAAAGGCTACTTAGCAAAGGAGGACCTGAGAGTACTCAAGAAAAAGGAGTTCCCTAAACTTTTGGAAAATCAAAAAGAACCTCTGACCATAAACAAAATAGTGAAGGACCTAGACGAGTGCCAAGACAGCAGTGTGGGCTTCCAGAGCTGCTTTAAGCTGTCAAGCTCACCGTCACATGCAATAACATTTGTAATTCACATGAAGAAGGAAAGAAAGTAGGCAGCACTGAGCAGTTACCTCCACCCTGATAACAGTTCTCCCAATGGGTGGCTTAAGGAATATGTGCCCCACATCTTCCCCCTGTATGACATTTCATAAGCAGATTGGAGCACTTAAAAATTATACAAATAGACCTAACCAATCTGGCTCATCGGATAAAGTGTTGGCCCTCAGACTGAAGGGACATGGGTTTGATTCTGGTCAAGGGCACATACCTTGGTTGAAGGCTGTATCCCCAATCCTGGTTGCGTTTCTCTCATATCAATGTTTCCTTCTCTCTCTCTCTCTCCCCCTTCCTTCCTCTCTCTCTAAAAATCAATGGGAAAATATCCTCAGGTGAGGATTAACAGATGTATGTAAAATTCCAGTCCATTCAACAGGAGAGAAAAAAGCCAATTAAAGCAAGATAAGCTTTTGATTTTTTTTTTAAATATATTTTATTGATTTTTTTACAGAGAGGAAGGGAGAGGGATAGAGAGTTAGAAACATCAATAAGCTGCCTCTTGCACACCCCGCACTGGGGATGTGCCCGAAAACAAGGTACATGCTCTTGACCAGAATCGAACCTGGGACCCGTTAGTCCACCGGCCGACACTCTATCCACTGAGTCAAACCAGTCAGAGCAAGTTTTTCATTTTTATATTGCTTGTATCCTCTTGCACTCAATAAACAAATTTCCTTGTTAGTAAAGAACAAACAAACAGTATCCTATCACTTTCTCACAGAAATAGTTAATGTTCAAAGCATTTGTTCTAAGAACAATTTTGTGCCTCAAGGAGTCAACCTAAAACTAAAAAACAACAACAAACCTTTAGGATATGTAATAACTTAAACACATTAATTTAGAAAGAGAGATGAGTGAAGAAAATAGGTAACATACATAAAAAATAGTACCCAAGTTAATTATAAATTAAATGATAAAACAGAAGTCTATTTGTAAATGGCTGAATCACCAATCCACATTCAATAGGCAATGCTCTGTTTTTGCTTTAAATTTTTTAAAAAGGTATTTGTTGATACATTAATAATCGGTATTAAGCCGAGACCAGTTTGGCTCAGTGGATAGAGCGTCGGCCTGCGGACTGAAAGGTCCCAGGTCCGATTCCGGTCAAGGGCATGTACCTTGGTTGTGGGCACATCCCCAGTAGGGGGTGTGCAAGAGGCAGCTGATGGATGATTCTTTCTCATTGATGTTTCTAACTCTCTATCCCTCTCTCTTCATCTCTGTGAAAAATCAAAAAAATATATTAAAAAAATAATAATCGGTATTAAATCATTGAATATAAGTTTGGAGTGATCATATTATACCCGCCAGGAACATTACCAGTAAAAGTACAATTATGATCTGGGAGAAGTAAAATTTTCAACTTGATTCTATCTGGACAGTAGCCATAATGTACAAAGAATTTATACTGTGCTTACTTTGATGGGAGTAGCAAAATAAATAATTCATTATTCAAATAAAAGAATGGTTAACATTTTCCCATGAGCCAACAAGAAACTTAGTGGACACATGAAATTATTTATGCTGATAATACTTGTTTAGGCTTGACTTCTCCATGAATAAGATTGGGTTTTTACATTTTATATTATTTATTTCCTGTATGTTACCTATATTAATGGATGATAAATGACCTAATAACATGAGACACTAGTGTCCTATAAAAAACAGGACACTAGTGTCTGTTTTTTATAGGACACTAGTTGAAATCTGTTGGTATAACAATGTCAGTTGGATTTGTTACAAATAACTCGACTTGAAAAAAAAAAAAAACTCATGGTGCATCTCGAGCACAGATATGGACTTAAATCTTCCTTCTCTCTTGAGAACATTTAGCATGCAGATTTTGACATGGTTCACACTCTGAATATACCTGACCAATCTCTAAATTTTTAAAGGTTAACTGTTAATGAAATTGAGTTTGAGATTAATCTAAATAAAGCTAGTGTCTCTAAATGTTTCTATTACCTATGAAACCAAGCAATTTTGGGTAAGATTAGCTCTGATAATAATATGTAGACAGTATCTATTTCCAAGTAGGGTGATAGGAAGATTCTATAACCAAAAGTAATAAAAGATGCAATCACCCTAATATGATATGTTCTTGATGAGTCATTTATCCATTGAAAAACTGGCATTTTCAGAGACTAAAGTAAAAATGTGTCAGGCACATACTCATATTGCCATATATACTGAGAAGACATCCATTATTGAGAATAATCTAGAAATCAAAATGCATGAATATATTTCACTGGACTCTTCTCCAAGGATCAATACAGATCTAAAACCTGATTAAAATACTGATTTAAAAACTTACTGAAGTGATCAGGTGATCCCAGGGTTGAAAACACACAAGTCAAGAACTGAAGTCGGACTTGAACTTCAGCACTGTGGCTATACCTACATATAAAAAGTCATTAAAATAATTAACCCTATTTCTTAATTTTAAAGATTTAATGGCCCTAATCTTAAAAGATACAAAAGAAGTAAATTCACTTTCATAGTTCATAATTAAATACTTGTATTATATAACTTTGGTTACACAAAAAAGGTCATACAGTCAAATGTTATGTTTGAGATTTATGTTATTTAATAAATTATAAAAAAATCTCTAAACTATTAGAAAATGTACTTTCAAATTAGATTAGCAGAAAGTACATAAGAACCCAATAGTGAAACAAATACATTTTGAAATTATGCAACATGCACATAAATTACAAGTTAACAAAAAAAAACTATTGTATCTAGAAATTGCATGTTTTATTATCACTGTTCTTCCAGTGATACAACCTTATTCTTTAAACAAGAAATACTAATAAAATATCATTTCCATAAACCAAGTTCTTGAGGAATTCGGTTGATACACAACTGACACTTTTGAATGCTACTTCAAATCTAAATAACAATATTTTATATATACAAAATTCAATGGTTAATTTAAGAGTTGCTTTGGAAGCTTATTAAGTAGGTAATTTTACATGGTTTTCTGGTAATTCAGTTTGTAGGCATTTGAAATGAAACAGCATTTTAAAAATGCTAGATGAGGAAACGTAAGAGATGGCTCTGAAGAGGCCCAGAGTATAGCCAGCCTGAATGTCAGACAGAAGAGATTGGTATTGATTTGGGTGGAAGTCACTGAACTATATTGGGAGGAGAGGAAGCTATAATGTTCAGTTTTTCGTTTTAGGATTCCTTTAGTAACTCTGTGAAATGCACATTGAACGAAGTGATATCACAACATTCTAGTACTACAAGCACCTGAGCACTCAACCAATGAAACTAAGTCAATCATGAGTTCTTATCTCTATGTTACAAAACAAAAGGCTGATTGTAGATAAATTGCCCAAATTACTTTGCCAACAAAAGGCAGCAACCAGCCTGAGCCCTGATCCACACTCCAGTTTCCAGAGTCAGAGCCTCTTAATTCACAATTTCCAATAATCTTTAAGTACAGATTTTTTAAATTTTCCCCAAAATTAGTTTCAAAAACTTACATTAAATTCACTGTTAAAGTTTAAAGTTTTTCTACAGATTGAGTTTGCTGGATATACCTTTACTACTCTTTATTGTCTCATATTAATATTGGCAAAAAAGAGAGAGGAAAGAACTATTGTTGCCGTGCCCTTTGTAAAGATGAAAGTACATGTGGCAACGTGGCTGGAGTGGGGAAGATTGGAATATAATAAACCATTCACAGACAAAAATGTTACCTAAATGGAATTCAAGGACAGCTATTAATAGTTTCTCATCCTTTTCTAATACGACAAATTTTGTAGCAGAAGCCTTGAAGTACTCTGAGACTGAATCTGAAGGACTTTGGTCACAGACATAAAAGTGAATGAATAAAGTCCTGTTCTTTACAAATTGCCTTTATTTCTTGAATATTTTCTTCCCTATACTCAGTTGCAAATCAGAGCAAGAGACCCTGGATCCAGTCTGCCACCCCTCTTCAGCTTCCACAGAACCATTGGCTCTACACTTCTGCAGCCAAATGAAAAAGTAGAAAATAATATGGCAGGAACTCAGTATGCTTTACCAAAAAGTAGCATTACCAACCTGAAAGAACAAAGGAGTTATACCAAAATAGTGCAGACAACATCCCTCTTGTTTTTAAGGTTTTATTCTCTAAAATGCCAGGCAACAAAGCAGATTGGATGATTGGAAAGATGCTTTGGTGTACCCTACAGAAATATAAAACTCATCTCCAAAGAGCACTCCTCCTCTATCTTTTTTTACCACAGAAGCAAAGCTTGTATGAGGCTCTACCTCTGGTTCTACAACAAACTAAACAAACCTGTAGATAATGCTGTAAACAACCAAGTTCCAGGCCTGTGTTTATTTTTTTGTCACTTAATGTTGTGACTTTCACTTTTTGAGGGCAATTCATCTGTTTTCTACTCCCCTCTCTCATGCACCCCATCCCTTCTCTTGAAGCCCACAGACTAGTTGTACCAGTAGCTCTTTTGTAACTTAAGATTTCTTTCTCTTCTGACAGATAACTTGAATTCTCTCTCCTAAAAATGCTGAGGATGTGGGTCACATGTGGTTTAATTTCTGCTTTTTTATCTTATAGATTTTATAGAGGATATATGGAGATACTCATATTCAGGAGACCATAATTATCCTTGACCTCTGCTTCAATAAGAAAAATTAAAGTAGAACACTTAAAATTTTAATAGGATTTAAAGAGAATGCATCTTGTATAGTGGTACCTTTATAATCAAAACTATGGAATAGAGTAAATTTAGGGAAATATCTAAAAAATAATATGATAGGCTTGTAGAATAGGACATCTTAAGAAATCATTGAACAATAAAATAGGAAAGGCTGGATGAGTTTGGATTTTAGAGGGCCCAGCATACTAGGTTGTAAAAAACTGGTATTTATTTTTTATGCAGGGAATCACCTACAAGGGCTAAGGTACAAGTTTCTTTTTTACTTTAGCGACGCAATCACAATTTATAGATACTCTACTATGTGCCAGGTATTACTTACTGGC